TGCTTATGATCTGTATTTGCTGGGCATTTCATCCAGGTCCTCAAGGCGGCCACGGCGATCTTGGAGAAATTTGAGAGCAGCCAAGACAGCTCAACGATGGCATCGGCCCGTGACGTCTTGAAGAATGCCATGGACGATCTCTTGCCAGACATGCGCAAGGGGAGAGTGCTGGTCATCGAGATGATGTTGGTGCGGCAGCTTTCCAAGGTGAAGGGCAAGGACATTTCGATCGACAGCAAGGACCCCTGCGTCGTGGACATGGAGGGATTGCTGACCAAGCAAACCATTTTCCTTTCCAGCAATCTGCTGGGAATGACGTCCAATGATATTCACCCAGCGTTGTGGCAAGCGGTACAGAAGTTTGCCAAGTGACGTAGGAAGCTTTGATCTGGGACCCGTATTGTGCTAAGCTGCTAGCTGCTATCTGCTGCTGCTAGCTTCTAGCTGCTAGCTAATCCTAGCTGTCCTAGCTAGGTGCCAACGGTTACAAGACAATTTCTGGAGACTGTGGTGAGTAAAGCAGTGTAGCAGTGTAGCCAGAGTGGGCTGGTGAGTCGCAGTGTGTCCCTTCTGCAAGCCGTAAACCTAATCTCTGAACCCTAAGCCCCTAGGCCCTAAGACCCTAAGACCTGCCCTAGGCCATAAACTCCAAGCTTTAAACCTTAAATCGTAAAGTCGTAAACCCTATAATAATAAATCCTTCAACCTTTCCCTAGCCTAGACCTAGCCGTAGCCTAGCTCCTTGCGCACGTAAGTCAAAACATAGGTGAGGTAGGTGCAGAACATATCGACCGCTTGATTTACGATTCTTTGTTGTATGTTTAGGACTTCAGGGGCCCCAACATCTACTTAGTCTACTTTGGTGTGCAACCCGTTCTTGCTATGCCAATATAGAGCTTAAACTTGCCGTGCCATACCATGACAGAGTCGTCGGGGTTCCAAATCTGGCTTCCCAGGGCTGAGAATCGTCCGCCTTTTAACTGCTGCTGGCATCAGTGCTTGCCTTAGGGCCTTAGGGTATTCGGGATAGATGTAATGAATATAACGTCTTGATCACTTAGTCGTTTAGTCGTCTGGCCCTTGGCCTCTTAAGCCATACTAGTAAGGATCTGCTGTGCTCAGCAAGTCTCATTACACGACTGCTGATGACCGTATGTCCGTTATGTTAGGGCCAAGTCGCTTTTCATTACTTGTGGGAAACAGTCTGATAATACCCGGAGCCATGGCTTGTGCTGCCAGCTAGCTCGTGACTGCCACCCACTCAGGGGATCAGACAGTCAAGATTTTTCATGCGCAATTATCATCATCGCCTGCTCTGCCCTGCTGTGAGTGTCCATGGACATTCGCCAGGAAGCAGTGTGATCCAAGTCGGATCCAACTGTGTTCGTGACCAACCATCGCTGGCATTCTGAGCCACAGTCGAGCAATGCCGCAAAACATCGTGGCATCAGAAGGGTTGCCAGCTGCACACTGTGGTGCACATGATTGCGAGCGCTGTGCGTGGAGGGTTTCACGGTATGGGCATTTGTGTGTCGGAGGCTATGTCGGCTATGGCTATGTCATACGGCTATGTCAGCTATGTCTACAGTGGTCTACAGTCAGTCTAGAGTGCAGAGTCCCGGAGTCCAGAGTCTAGAGTCTACGTCCAAGTCAAAGTCTATATCGTTCCATGTCATGTGTGGGGGGTATGTCATCGGGCCATAGGGCCATAGGGCCATAGGGCCATAGG